GATGTTGAGTAAACGCCCAGGGCCGTCTAGTCAACCTCAAGTATGGGGGTCGGGTTGGTTCTTCCTCCCTTGACCTATATGTAGGCTTCCCTATCCCTATCTCTATTCTGGTGCCCCATCTTGGCCCCCCATCGTGCCCCCCCCAGCGTGATTCCCACTGTAGCCCCCCTATCGTAATCGTGTAACGCTGTTTAGGTGTTTCTGCTGCAATGGTATCATTCTTAAGCATTGTGCCCAACTGCCTTCACCCTCCCCCGCTGCTCTGTTCCTGCTACTGCTCACCGCCTCCTCAAATCTGCTCCTGCTCCATCCAAGGCGTCCCCACAACATTGTCCCTTCCGTGCCAAGCGTGGGACCGAAACGAACGCCAGATGTGGCATTTCAATGCCGCACGCGAACAACCATCTACTCATGGTCGAATCATGACTGAAACAGTTTCCAAGACTTCATCCGGACACGGCCCTGAGAGTTTTTCGAACGGGATCCAGCCGTGGCGACGAGCGAAGCGCAGAGGGGGGCTGAAAGAGCCCGTCGACATACCCAACCCACTCAACGGTGCGTCGAAATGCCAATTGTGTCAGGCTCCCTCTGGACGTCTATTTTGGCGCGTGGGCTGACTACCCGCTGTGCCAAACGAGTTGGCCACGACGCAGTGGTCCCAGCGGGACCCCGCGGCCCCCCAGACCTCGGCGACGCTCCAACGGCGAATGCGGGGGGGGCACCTCAGATGTCCTCGCCGTTCAGAATCCGGAGGGCCGTCTGGAGGGACTCGATCTCCTCCTCTCGCCGCGCCACGCGCCCCTCGTAGCTGGTCCCGGCGTCGATGCACGACGGCTTCAGCTTGTCGAAGTACAGCAGGGCCGCGTCGAGCTCCTTCTGGGTCCCCTCCAGGTCGGCCGCCTTCACGACGAGGGCCTTCTTCTCGCTCTTCACCTTGGCGGTCTTGTGCTCGACGTCCTTCTGCTGACCCATCAGGTCGACCTTGGAGTCTGTGATGAAGGTCTCGTACTCCTGCTGGGCAGCCTGCTCGGCCGCGGCAGTATCCCCCTCCAGGCGCGCGAAATCCGACTCGATGACCTCGAGCATACTGACCACACCACCAGACTCGCCGCCCATGCCCGTGTAGGCCTTCTCGAAGATGGGCGGCGGCTCCGGCTGCTGCTGCACGAACGCGGTCGCCTCCGCGGCGCGGGCATAGAACTCCTTCAGGACCGTGAGCGCCTGCGCCACGGCCGTCTGCGCCTCCTGCGCGTCCTTGATCGTCTCCTCGTTCTTCTCCTTCTCCGTCTTGCGGAGCTCGGTCGCCTCCGCCATGGCCTTCTGAAGCTCGGCCACCGCCTTCGTGTGCTCCGCGATCTCCTCGGTGAGCTTGGCGGTGGAGGTCTGCAGCTGGTCGATCTCGGCGTGCAGCGTCTCCACGGCCTGCGTCTTCGTCTTCCGCGTCTGCTCGTTCGTGGAGAGCTCGGTGTCGCACCAGCCCTTGTGCTCGGCCTCCTCGTTGGCCTCTTCCATCAGCCGCGTGATGAGGTCCTTGATCATCTTCTTCACCTGTGGGCCACCGCACGCATCTGGGCGATGCCGATCCCAACCTCGATCTGGCCGGCCGGTCGGCTGGCCCGGAACAGTCCCCGAAGCCCGATCGAACGCACCGACTCCGATCGACAACCGAGGGGATCAGCGATCCACGATCCACGATCCACGGCCGAGCCCAATCCGACGGATTCAAGTATCCTGGGCCTTATCGCCTTCTTGAAGGGGTCCGCCTCCACGCGCGCGGCCAGCGTGGAGAGCACGCGGCTGCCGATCCTGCCTGCCTGCTGCCGTAGGTACCGTGCGGCCTGCTCCTGGAACTCGCTGCTGGTGGCGGAGCGCAGGGCTGCGAACGCAGGGCCGTAGGCGGCCTTCATCGCCATCGTCACCACTGTCGCCGTCGCCATATTATCAAAATCAGGATCATCATCATCATCATCATCATCATCAGCAACATCATCATCATCATCATCATCATCATCATCGTAGTCATCATCATCAGCATCATCATCATCACCACCAGCATCATCATCAGAAGCAGTAGCACCACAGTCAGCATCATCATCATCAGCAGCAGCATAATCATCAGCAACATCATCATCAGCATCATCATCAGCATCACCATCGTCCTCATCATCAGCATCAACAGCATCATCAACATCAGCAGCAGCATGAGCATCATCATCATCCGCATCATGATCATAATCACCATCATCAGCATCGTCATCATCATCACCAGCAGCAGCAGCGGCAGCAGCGTCATCAACATCATCATCATCATCATCATCATCATCATCATCATCAGCATCGGCATCGGCATCGGCGTCATCTTCATTGACGCCATAGTCATCATCATCAGCAGCAGCATGAACATCATCATCGGTATCAGCATCAGCAGCATCATTACAGCATCATCATCATCATCATCAGCAGCATCAAAATCAGCATCGTCATTATCAGCAGCAGCGTCGTTACCAACAACATCATCATCAGCAGCAACAACATCACCATTATCATCATCATCACCATCCGGAACAGCAGCAGCATCCTCACCAGCATTACCATCATCAGCACCATCAGCATCACCATCATCAGCATCATCAACATCATCATCAGCATCGTCATCTTCATCGTCATCGTCATCATCATCACCCTCATTATCATCATCATCCTCATCATCATTATCATCATCATCACAATCACCATCACCATCACCATCACCATCACCATCATCATCATCATCATCAGCATCATTATCATCATCATCATCATCATCAACATCATCATCATCATGATTAGCAACATCATCATCAGCATCAGCATCATCATCGTCGTCGACCTGATTCTGATCCCCATCCTGATCCCGATCCTGATTCTCATCAACATCGTCATCGCCGTCGTCATCGTCACCATCATCATCGTCATCTGCATCAGCATCATCATCGTCATCACCACGACCACCACGATCATCATCGTCATCGTCGCCAACGTCGCCATCAGCACCAACGTCACAGCACGTCATCACCACCATCGCCGTCAACACAATTCATCGTCATCGCCTTCTCCTCGTCGGTGGCTGCCAAGTGCTTCTCGGCGTTACCGCTGACGGCGTCAGTGGAGATGATGTCGATGGCCTTCTGGACGGCCACCAGCTCCTCCGCGCGGAGCGTCTGCCTGGACTCGAAGTCCGTGGCCTTCTGCTCGCAAGTGGCGACCAGGTCGGTGAGGTACTGCTGGTCGGCGTCGCGGGTCGTCGTGGTGTCGGTCAGGTCGCCCTCCGCGTCCGCCTTGGCCTGAAGGGCCTTCGCCTTCAGCTCCGCCTTCTCCTCGCGGTCCTGCTTGGACTGCGCAGTGGAGGACTCCAGGTCCTGTGGGGCAGACGCGAGACTCAGCACTCGGAGACTTTGGTTTGAAGCTCCGGCGACCGCGAAGACTCTGGCCTGCTCCGCCACTTTCGAAGTCGGTGCCCAGGAGAGGGCCAGGGGGGGCCGCCCTTCTTTTGGAGCACCCCCCACCCATAAACTTCCAGCGGGCCCCGGGGCCCCACCCCTGGCAAACCCGAGCCTCTGGTCCACTCGATCCTGCATCAACATCTCGAACTCCTGCTGGGTCTTCGTCTCCGTCTTCTCCAGCGTGGTGCGTTCCGCGATGAACTTGTCCAGCAGCTTCTCGAGCATATCGATCACGCCCTTTGACTGGAACTCGTACCCGTAGGCTTCGGGGGCACTGACCTCCAAGCCCTCGGCGGCCGCATCGGGGTCCTGCTGAAGGAACACGGCAATGGCCCTCTTGGCCTCTGGCGGGATGAGGCTCAGGCCGTTCAGGTCCGCGAGCTGCACGAAAGCGGCCTGCGGGCGGTTGTAGGCCTGCTTCTTGAGAACCTCGATCGCCCGCTGCAGGGCGCCAACGGACTCGGAGTAGTCCGTGTGCAGGGTCTCGTAGTCTGCCTTCTCGAGCTGGCGCACCTTGGAAGCAGCAGCCATGTCTCCGTCCCAGGCGCTGATGTCCGCGTCGTGGCCCTCGATCTCCTTCTTCAGCTGCTCGGCGTCGGACAAATACTTCTCGATGTCGGCCTTCAGTACCTCGATCTTGTCGTTGGCCTCTGCGATGGCCTTCTGCTTGAGACTTGTGGTGTCCTCGCAGAACTGCTTGTAGGCGGCGAACTGGACCTGCTCCGCCTTCTTCTCCTTCTTGCCCTGCTCCATCATGCCCTCCATGAGCGTGATAACCTCGGAGACACCCTCCCATTCTAAGCAAACGGGTCGACCCAACGCCGCATCCCGATCCCCGTCGAACTTGACGATCGACCCGGCCGATCCGTCGCGCCGCTCGACACAACCCCTCGAACATAATCCGATGTGCGATCCTGATCACATCGACGGCCGACGGATCTGAAGGGGCCCCAGAACACACAAATGAATACACACAAATAAAATGATTCCCCATATTTTCCCATATTTTCTGAGTTTTTGTCTTCCCCCCACTTCCCATATTTTCCTATATGTTTCTGGGGATCGGCGATTAATTGTGTCTGTGTGTTTCTTCCCCTCCTGAGGATCAGCAGTCCACGAACGTCCGACCAGGGCCTCCTAAGCCGTTCGCCTTCTGCACAGGAGTCACCGACTGAGCGCCCGCGCCCGCGGCGGCCGTTGCCACGGGCACGAGAGCGCCCAAGTGCAGAAGAACTGCCGCGGTGGGGAACTGCATTGCTGCCCAATCGATTCGCGTACGTACCATACGGTGTGAGCGCGGCGCCCGCACACATGAGCCAGATATGCAGTACACTGCCTCGGGGAATGGAGAGGACAAGGATGCCTCCTGTGGTGATCAGCGCCCTGTTGGTTGTCCAACATCTGCGCATTCCCTTCGCCGTGATCGCGAGGTCTGCACGGCCTGCTGCGGGAGAAGCGGCATCGCAGTATCTCATCATCGCTACCTCCATCGATTTTCGAACGGGATCCAGCCGTGGCGACGAGCGAAGCCCAGAGGGGGGCTGAAAGAGCCCGTCGACATACCCAACCCACTCAACGGTGCGTCGAAATGCCAACTGTGTCAGGCTCCCTCTGGACGTCTATTTTGGCGCGTGGGCTGACTACCCGCTGTGCCAAACGAGTTGGCCACGACGCAGTGGTCCCAGCGGGACCCCGCGGCCCCCCAGACCTCGGCGACGCTCCAACGGCGAATGCGGGGCACCTCAGATGTCCTCGCCGTTCAGAATCCGGAGGGCCGTCTGGAGGGACTCGATCTCCTCCTCTCGCCGCGCCACGCGCCCCTCGTAGCTGGTCCCGGCGTCGATGCACGACGGCTTCAGCTTGTCGAAGTACAGCAGGGCCGCGTCGAGCTCCTTCTGGGTCCCCTCCAGGTCGGCCGCCTTCACGACGAGGGCCTTCTTCTCGCTCTTCACCTTGGCGGTCTTGTGCTCGACGTCCTTCTGCTGACCCATCAGGTCGACCTTGGAGTCTGTGATGAAGGTCTCGTACTCCTGCTGGGCAGCCTGCTCGGCCGCGGCAGTATCCCCCTCCAGGCGCGCGAAATCCGACTCGATGACCTCGAGCATACTGACCACACCACCAGACTCGCCGCCCATGCCCGTGTAGGCCTTCTCGAAGATGGGCGGCGGCTCCGGCTGCTGCTGCACGAACGCGGTCGCCTCCGCGGCGCGGGCATAGAACTCCTTCAGGACCGTGAGCGCCTGCGCCACGGCCGTCTGCGCCTCCTGCGCGTCCTTGATCGTCTCCTCGTTCTTCTCCTTCTCCGTCTTGCGGAGCTCGGTCGCCTCCGCCATGGCCTTCTGAAGCTCGGCCACCGCCTTCGTGTGCTCCGCGATCTCCTCGGTGAGCTTGGCGGTGGAGGTCTGCAGCTGGTCGATCTCGGCGTGCAGCGTCTCCACGGCCTGCGTCTTCGTCTTCCGCGTCTGCTCGTTCGTGGAGAGCTCGGTGTCGCACCAGCCCTTGTGCTCGGCCTCCTCGTTGGCCTCTTCCATCAGCCGCGTGATGAGGTCCTTGATCATCTTCTTCACCTGTGGGCCACCGCACGCATCTGGGCGATGCCGATCCCAACCTCGATCTGGCCGGCCGGTCGGCTGGCCCGGAACAGTCCCCGAAGCCCGATCGAACGCACCGACTCCGATCGACAACCGAGGGGATCAGCGATCCACGATCCACGATCCACGGCCGAGCCCAATCCGACGGATTCAAGTATCCTGGGCCTTATCGCCTTCTTGAAGGGGTCCGCCTCCACGCGCGCGGCCAGCGTGGAGAGCACCCGGCTGCCGATCCTGCCTGCCTGCTGCCGTAGGTACCGTGCGGCCTGCTCCTGGAACTCGCTGCTGGTGGCGGAGCGCAGGGCTGCGAACGCAGGGCCGTAGGCGGCCTTCATCGCCATCGTCACCACTGTCGCCGTCGCCATCGTCGCTGTGGTCGCCCCTGTCATCATCATCATCATCATCATCATCATCATCATCATCATCATCATCATCATCATCATCATCATCATCATCATCATCATCATCATCATCATCATCTCCATCCTCCTCATCATCATCAGCAGCAACAGCAGCAGCATCACCACCACCATCATAATCATCGCCGTCATTATCAAAATCAGGATCATCATCATCATTATCATCAGCATCAGCATGATCATCATCATCGTAATCAGAATCATCGCTATCATAATCAGCAGCAGCATCATCATAATTATCTTCAGCATTAAAATCGTCATCATCATCACCATCATCACCACCATTATCAGCAGCAGCAGTAGCACCACAGTCAGCATCATCATCACCATCCGCATCATCATAATCAGCATCATCATCAGCATCATCATGATCAGCATCATCATCATCACCATCATCATCACCATCATCACCATCACCAGCATCACCATCATCATCATCATCATCATCATCATCATCAGTAGCAGCATCATCACCATACTCGTCATCATCATAATCGTCATAATCATCACCATGAGCATCAGCAGCAGCAGTAGCACCCCAGTCAGCATCATCATTTTCATTAGCATGTTCAGAACCATCACCATCGTCATCAGCATCACGTGTATCACCATCAGCATCATCAGCATCATCATCAGCAGCATCAAAGTAATCGTCATCGTCATCATCCTCATCATGACCATCATCATCAACAGCAGCAGCAGCAGTAGCACCCTAGTCAGCATCATCATCATCATCATCATCAGCATCAGCATCATTAGCATCTTCATCAGCATCATCATAATCATCACCATCATCCTCATCCTCATCATCATCATCAGCATCAGCATCATCATCATCAGCAGCATCATGAGCATCATCATCATCAGTATCAGCGTCATTATCATCATGACCATCATCAGCATCGTCATCGTCATCGTCATCATCAGCGGCGGCAGCAGCGTCATCAATATCATCATCATCATCATCATCATCATCATCATCATCATCATCATCATCATGAATATCAGCATAGGCATCGACATCATCGGCATTGACGCCAGAGTCATCATCATCAGCAGCAGCATGACCACCATCATCATCATTACAGTATCAGCATTTTCAGCATCATCAGCATCAGCATCGTCGTTATCAGCAGCATCGTCATTACCAGCAACATCATGATCAGCATCATCATCATCATCATCATCATCATCATCATCATCATCAGCAACAGCATCACCATCATCGTCACCATCACCATGTAGCATCATCATCAGGAGCAGCAGCAGCATCCTCACCAGCATCACAATCATCATCCTCATCCTCTTCATCATCATCATCATCATCATCATTGTCTTCGTCATCGTCATCGTCATCTTCATCCTCAGCAGCATTACAATAATCAGCATCATCACCATCAGCATCAGCACCAGCATCATCATCGTCGACCTGATCCTGATCCCGATCCTGATCCCGATCCTGATCCGTATCAACATCGTCATTGTCGTCGTCATCGTCACCATCATGAACGTCAGCATCATCCTTATCGTCATCGTCGCCGTCATCACCCTCGACAACGTCACCATCAACACCACCGCCACAGCACGTCATCTCCACCATCGCCGGCAACGCAATTCATCGTCATCGCCTTCTCCTCGTCGGTGGCTGCCAAGTGCTTCTCGGCGTTACCATCATCAACATCATTAGCATCATCATCATAATCAACATCAACATGAACATGAACATCATCATCATCATCATCATCATCATCATCATCATCGGCATCATATCATCACCATCATCAGCATCGTCACCGTCATCATCATCAGCAGCAGCGTCATCATGATCAGAATCATCATGAGCATCGGCATCAGCGTTATCGGCATTAATACAATTGTCATCATCATCACCAGCAGCATGAATATCATCATCAGCATCATCATCAGCAGCACCATTACAGTATCATCAACATCAGCATCATCAGCATCAGCATTGTAATTATCAGCAGCATCGTCATTACCAGCATCATCAGCATCATCATCGTCATCATCATGAAGCATTATCATCATCCGGAGCAGCAGCAACATCATCCTCACCAGCATCACCATCGTACGTGTCATCATCATTATCATCATCGCCATTACAAGTATCATCATCATCATAATCAAAATCACCATCATGAAGCATCATCATCAGCAGGAGCAGCAGTAGCAGCATCCTAACCAGCATCACTATCACCATCACCATCACCATCATCATCGTCACTATTTACATCATCTTCAGCAGCAACATCATCATCGTCATAGTCATCATCAGAAGCATTACAATAATCAGCATCATCACCATCAGCATCAGCATCATCATCGTCGTCGTCCTGATCCTAATCCCGATCCTGATCCTCGTCGAAATCGTCATCATCGTCGTCATCGTCACCATCATGAACGTTATCATCGTCATCGTCATCGTCGTCATCGTCATCACCACCATCACCATCACCATCACCATCACCATCACCATCACCATCACCACCATCATCATCATCATCATCATCATAATCATCATCGTCATCGTCGTCAACGTCACCATCAAAACCACCGCCACAGCACGTCATCACCACCATCGCCGTCAACACAATTCATCCTCATCAACATCGTCATCGCCGTCGTCATCGTCACCATCATCATCGTCATCTGCATCAGCATCATCATCGTCATCACCACGACCACCACGATCATCATCGTCATCGTCGCCAACGTCACCATCAGCACCAACGTCACAGCACGTCATCACCACCATCGCCGTCAACACAATTCATCGTCATCGCCTTCTCCTCGTCGGTGGCTGCCAAGTGCTTCTCGGCGTTACCGCTGACGGCGTCAGTGGAGATGATGTCGATGGCCTTCTGGACGGCCACCAGCTCCTCCGCGCGGAGCGTCTGCCTGGACTCGAAGTCCGTGGCCTTCTGCTCGCAAGTGGCGACCAGGTCGGTGAGGTACTGCTGGTCGGCGTCGCGGGTCGTCGTGGTGTCGGTCAGGTCGCCCTCCGCGTCCGCCTTGGCCTGAAGGGCCTTCGCCTTCAGCTCCGCCTTCTCCTCGCGGTCCTGCTTGGCCTGCGCAGTGGAGGACTCCAGGTCCTGTGGGGCAGACGCGAGACTCAGCACTCGGAGACTTTGGTTTGAAGCTCCGGCGACCGCGAAGACTCTGGCCTGCTCCGCCACTTTCGAAGTCGGTGCCCAGGAGAGGGCCAGGGGGGGCCGCCCTTCTTTTGGAGCACCCCCCACCCATAAACTTCCAGCGGGCCCCGGGGCCCCACCCCTGGCAAACCCGAGCCTCTGGTCCACTCGATCCTGCATCAGCATCTCGAACTCCTGCTGGGTCTTCGTCTCCGTCTTCTCCAGCGTGGTGCGTTCCGCGATGAACTTGTCCAGCAGCTTCTCGAGCATATCGATCACGCCCTTTGACTGGAACTCGTACCCGTAGGCTTCGGGGGCACTGACCTCCAAGCCCTCGGCGGCCGCATCGGGGTCCT